ACACCAATAGAGAAATATATTCTGACTTGTACATTTAGATCTTATAATATAAGTAAGGTGTTTTGTTCTCTTCAAGATCACCCTTTTCTCTGTATGTTGTCAGCAGTAGCTTAAAAATTGCTACTCACTATGTGATAGAACGATAATAATAACAACTGATGTCAAGTATTAGCATACTGCATGCATACCTTGGATATTAACCTTGCATTCAATCCTAAACGAGCTGCACAAGTTAGAGCATTTCCTGCATTACCACCTCCTTGTACCTATCAGGAAAGAAAAAAAAAAAGTGTGATTTAGGATTATGATTGTCACAGTGTTACTGAGATTCAACTAATTTTTACAGCAACGATAGTAACAGAATGTACAAAAAGAGAAGATTGGATTTTCAAAACATACTTGACATCCAAAAAAAGCAACCCGTTCATTAAGTAAGGGAAACAAAACAACTAGTTTGACAATTCAACATTATCAGCAATCCCATACTAAAGAAGATGATGAATCTACATTTAAACCTAGATTGGAAGTAATGATAACACAACCATATAAAAAAACAGAGTACCCTTGGCCAAAATAAAAAGAAGAATGATAAAGTGTTGAGACCACCATTAGAGGAACTAATCAGTTTCTCTATAAAACTGTTAACCAGGACCACAGAAGATTGTAAAATCTCAATCATATAGGAAAGGGGGAATAAATGAACAATATAATCAACAAGGCAATTCTTCAATCATAGTGATTACAGATAACTTTGAGGTCTTGATATATTCTACACCACAGATCTGGATACTGTGAAACTTCTATTAGGAATCATAGAGGAAGAGTTCATTAAAACAACAGCCATTCATTCTGCAGTAATTACAGGTAAAATATTCACAAAATTTTGAATTCTTTCTTAAAACTCATGCTATACAATCAGTCACAAAACTCGAAATCATAAGATTGATAATCCAACTATAGGATAAAGCGAAGCTGTAATACCAATACTAACCTAGGAAAAATAATAAAATCGTCAAGACCGAGTACCTTTAAGCTGGTGCTTCGAATCTTGTCATCCGGGTTAGGGGAACGTAGCCACAGTAGCCAAGAGATCCACCCCCACACCACCAAATCCAAGCTGTATTGTTAACAGTTAACACCATAACATTCCACTTCCAGTCATATATATCAACTGTATCACATAATTATGTGCGGGAGTTCTCTCCGCCACAATGAGGTTATTTTGACATAGTTCTACAATCTCAATTCAAATTTGAAAAAACGCAGAGAATTACATACCACAATTGGACTTTCAGTCTGAGTCACCGACGACAACATTTTTGTCCTGAATCTTTGCACGCTAAGTGTAAACAAACAAAGGCATATTAAACGTTTCGGTAAGAGAAACAAATGAATTTGAATAACGTAATGTGAACATCGAAGAAAATCACCTGGCTGTAGTGGTCACGGGGAGTGATGGAGATACGCGATGAGGAGGAGATAAAGCTCGGGAGCATGGCACTGGTAGAGAGAATGGCTGCCATCGGTGCACCGTGCGTAGTTGGCGCGTGTCAAACACTGCGATTGTCTCCGGCGGCCGGAACCGATTTTTTCTGCGATGGATCTGGATAGGGAAGCGGATTGCATGCCATAGTTTAACCGTTTATTCTGTTCCAGAGCTTGGTGGGATCCACCAATCCACGATGTGAATTGTATATTTGCTACCACTTGTTTCAAAATTTTACATTCTAACCACCAAATATATTTTTTAAAGTGTAAATTACACGAATAGTCCTTTTGATTTGGTATAATTTGTATGGTTTTTATTTATTTTATTAACTTCGACAGTTCCTAATCTAATCTTTTATTGAGTTTTTTGTCCTTATCAGATGTAAAAATAAGTATACTGACATTATGTATTTACTTCTGATATTTTAATATTTTTATTTATTTTTAAACTTTTATTAGTCACAATTACAAAAAAAAAAGGTATCTTTTATAAGATACGTCATTAATATGTGGCTCTCTCGTCGTTCTTCACACCCTCACCGAAGGTTACTACACCATAACCTCCCACAACCTCTTGTTGCTCTCTTTTTTGTTGGTGACACTTATGTTTTCCTGATCGAGCATGATTTCAAGTTCATCTTTTGGATTGACTATATTTGGATTTTTAGTTTTGTTAAATTGAAAATTTTGGATTAAATGTATTTGGGTTGATTGTATTTTACAACGAAAGAAAGAAGAGGGTGAGTGTAACGCCCTAATTCTGGTATGTTATTTAATATTATTATTTATTCAAGTTTCAAGAGAGACTTGACGAGTCAGTAGCCCGACTCGTCGAGTAGAGACGGGATTTCGAGCACGTTTGAGTTGGCGACTCGGCGAGTCCATCAGTCTGAATGAAACCCTAAATCCTCGGGTTTTGCACCCTATTTAAGCCATGTTATGAGCCCCAACCTCGTCCCCTTCACCCTCGGAGCATCATTTAGCAAATCCTAACCTTTCCTTGAGCATTTTGAGCATTTACTGTGTGAATCTTGAAGTTTTGGAAGAGAAGAAGTAGCTAGATCCAAGGGAGTAGAAGAAGGTGCAAGATCTTGCATCTATTGCAAAGTTATTGAGGTATAAACCAGATTCCCTCTGTTGCTATGATTGATTCTCCTTCGTTGAATCACATTTAGACCATTTTATCCATTCTCTCCTTAGCTTATTTATGGTAGAGAAATCACATTGGGATGATTGGACTCCGCGTCTAACCATGTTTCAGTCCCAAAGTTGTGGATCTAACACCTTTATGGAGTCTTTTTGCTTGAAAGCCCTAGATCTATTTCTTTAAGTTTCTTTTTAGCCTTTAAGTCCATTTTCATGCATTTGTACACGTAAAGTTGGAAACTTTACGTGGTAGCTAAGCTTTATGAACCCAGATCTATAAGTTGTATGCATTAGATTTGAGCAGAATCATCAGAGTAGTGTTGCATGCAACCGACTCGGCGAGTTGTTCTTCAGACTCGGCGAGTCGGGTCGCGAGTCCCCGAGTTCTTCCCCTTTTATGTGTTATGTCGAGTGGAATCAGTGAGTTATGGGAGGACTCAGTGAGTCGGAGATCGGACTCATTCATGAAGGGACTCGACGAGTCAATGCCCTGACTCGGCGAGTCCAAGGCAATCTTCATACCTTAAGAATAGACTCGACGAGTTGTTCATACAACTCGGCGAGTCACAGCCAGAGTGTTCATGTGTTGAAGGAGGAGTCGACGAGTTGTTCATACAACTCGACGAGTCGGATGCAGATTGACTGAGTGTTAGTATTGAAGAGGAACTCGTCGAGTCTATGCCAAACTCGACGAGTAGTAGCGAGCAGAAGCAAGAAAGTGAGAGTAAGGACTCGACAAGTTGGTGACCCAACTCGACGAGTCAGGTCAACTGAATGTTGACTTTGACCAATAGGTTGACTTTGACCAGGGGTAAAATAGTCATTTTACCCTCCATATAGTTATCAGTGATTGATTGAGTGTACTTATGGAAATTGTAGCTAAGGAGATACCGGAGCAGCAGCTAGGGATGAGCATGAGTCAGTTTGGGTCGGTTTTTGGCTAAAACCAATCCAAACCGTAGAAAGTCGGTTTTTCGGTTTTTAAAACCATATAGGTTCGGTTTTTGCATGGGTCGGTTTTTCGGTTTTCCAGGTTGGGTTTATGGGTTTTCGGTTTTAAACCGTGGGTTTATGAGCTCCTTTTTTTTTCTAGTTTTTGAGTTCAAACCTAGTGAAAATACGTTGCGATAAATAATATTGTATCTACTTTAAATATACTAAAATAAAGAGTACGAATTCCAGTATTATAAAAGCATAAAAGTGTTCAAAATATCAAAGTTTAAGTGTTTAACACCATTAACAGTTTGTTGAAAATAAACATAAAGTATTAAAGAGATAAAGTCTAAAGTCTAAAACAAAAAATTTAAATAATAATATAAATAATGTATATGTGGTTCGGTTCGGTTTTTATGGACGGTTTTATACGTCAAAACCGAACCAAACCGTTATTTTTCGGTTTTTATAAAATTCAAACCTAAACCATCGGTTATTGCTTTGGTTTCGGTTTTTCGGTTTCGGTTATGTCGGTTTTTTTCGGTTTTTCGGTTTTCGGTTCGGTTTCTGCTCATCCCTAGCAGCAGCAGACAGTTTCCCGAGCAGTTCATTCAGTAGCCAGATTACAAGGTGAGTTTCCTTCCAGTAGAAACGGGTCTACAACCACAATGTCGGTCCGATTAGCTAGCAGTAGTTTCCGGACTTCGGTCTGATGCAGCAGATAGTGTGTTTGATGCCTTTGTGGCTCAAACAGGATTTATGTGTAATGTGTTTCGGGCTACGGCCTGATGCAGTATGCAATATATGTGTTTATGCTAGATGATATGTGTTATGCTAGTTGATATGTGTTTATGCTATGCTATGATCAGTTAGTTCCAGACTTCGATCCGATGCAGTCAGTTCTGGACTTCGGTCCGATGCAGCTAGTTCCTGACACCGATCCGATGCAGGGGACAAGGTCCCAGTCAGTTCCGGACTGCGGTCCGATGCAGTTTCCGGACTTCGGTCTGATGCAGTGGGCAAGGCCCAGTATGTGATTTATATGTATTGTATGGTATGTGGTAGTTTGGGGGAGCTCATTAAGCTTCGTGCTTACAGTTTTAGTTTTGGTTTCAGGTATTTCTGCAAGTAAAGTGAAGAGATCGGGATGATGGCATCGCACACACCACAACTTCAGTCTTTGTCATAAGAGGTTGTTTTGATTCATAATCTGATTTGATACAGTTGTTTCATGACACTTTATTATGATTTGAGATATTTTACGTATGGTTTTATGATATGACGTTCAGTATATGATTTTTATTATTATTAAAACAAAAAATTTTAGGTCGTATTTTTGGATGTTACAGTGAGAGGAAAGGAAGAAGATGGTGAGGGGTGGGTTGAGTGGAGTAGTAATGGGATGGTGGGGTATGTTAGATTTTGATAATTATATTAGATATAAAGAAATAGCAAAGGTCAAAATGGTTCTTTTATGGGAAAATGACTCTTAAGGGTAGCTAACTGTTGCGTTTGCTTTCATTTGTTTTTTTTTTTTTTTTTTGCACTCAATATACCATCGAACTTGTTGTTTGTGTTCATAGTAACCCTTTTAACCGACTTTTGACATGTGATAGCCGGTCAAAGGGTTATGGTGAACACAAAAAATAAGTTTGATGGTATATTGAATACAACAAAAAAATAATAATAATAATAAAGGGACCAAATGAGATCAAATGCAACAGTTGGTTACCCTCCTGATTTATTTTCCCTTTACTCATTTACATCAAATCTCACGTTATCTCATGTTGATATTAATCATGACTTTATGAGATTCATTCTTACTTTTCTTTAAAACATAACCCACGAAAGAACATTATTCATATATCTACAACTTTGTAATGCACTTGAATATTTATTAGGGGAATCTTGATGAAGCATATGCATTTCATGACTACATTTACATTTTCAATCAAATGATTTATCGTGTCGTGGATTTTAGACAAGTTTACAAACGAATGGAATCACAAGTGTTGTGATTTTTAAGTCTACTTAGCTTTAAGATCGAATTCATGGGATAAGATACAACATCAATATGTACAATATCATGCAGCTTTTCCTAACACACCACAATAATATACCTTGAGGTAAATATTTATGTTGATAAATATACCTCTCATACACAGTCATATCCTTTTGTAGAAAGGTGTTAAAAGCTAACCACAGTAAGCATAACATAGACCATATTTTAACGAAGTTACCCCTCCAAAACGCTCTTAATATATGTTATGGCCAAAGAAGGTTGCAGTCCTTGATAATTTTGCAACTTTAATTTCATTTAACTTTTCAGAGAAAATAACTCAGAAGGGTAACCAACTATTGAGTTTGTTCTCATTTGGTCCGTTTTCTTTAATATACCATCGAACTTGTTTTTTGTGTTCACCATAACCCTTTGACCGGCTATCACATGTCAAAAAGCCGGTCAAAAGGGTTATGGTGAACACAAACAACAAGTTCGATGGTATATTGAGTACAAAAAATGAAAGGAACCAAATGAAAATAAACGCAACAGTTAGTTACACTTAAGAGTCATTTTGCCTTCTTTTATTTCTGAAACCAAAGTCTCAACAAAAAAAATACTATAGGACATGTTCAAGTTAAAGAAAGATATATGGACCAAATGTACATAATACCCAAATCACAAGGACCATTAGTGTAATTTACTCTTCTCTATTTTAAACCCAATGCTGAAAAACTATTTTTCTCATCTCTTCTTTCATCGGCGCAGGTAGAGGCCAAGAGTCGTGCTCAATTTGAAGCCATTTATTAAGAAATAGGTGTGAGACCCATGTATTACATGGGTTTATTTAAAAGAAAAACTAAATACAAATTTCTAAACATTTGAGAAGTATGAATTTATAAGAAAATGAGAAAATATTGAATTATAAAAATTAAAATGTTTCTTTTTTTCTCTTGTAAATTTAAACAAATAATTTAGATAAATAAATAAAGAAAATTAGAGAATCTTTAATTTATTAATTTTGAAATTAGAAGAAAAGTTAATTAATGAAATTGATATGTATTTATTATTGCATTTAAATATTCTTTACAATTTAATAAAATGAAAAACATATAAAATGACATGTGGAATAAAAATTAATTTAAAATAACCACAAAATTACATGTGGCAAAATAAATAAGAATATGATGTGGCAAAAACATCTTTATTTATTTATTTATTAGGGAGGGTTATAGGCTTATAATATGTTTTAAACTAAAAGGGTCACATTAAAACAAAATATTAAAGAAATTTAAAAAGAAAACAAGTCAAACGAGTATGAGAATCAATCAAAATGTATTTTAAATGTGTATAACCTTTTAGGTTGTTAAATTTATTATGAAAATGATATTAATATTGCAATCAGAGTTAAAATACTAATTGTCTGTAAAAGATACTAAAAAAAGTACATTAGTTAACAACAAACTGAAGGACGAGTAAAACGGATAGGTTGTAGATAGTAGATGTTTATTGCTGAGTAAACTAGAAATCAAAGTACATTAATTAACAATACAAGAAAGAAAATGGGCGAAAAACCCATTAGGCCATTACATAAATAAATATTTATAAAAATATGAAATTCGTAATCAGGAACATTGAAGATGTCGAAGAGAAGCAGCAAAATGATTGTAGACAGGATCAACAAAAAATATAAATCATCTTGAAACTTGATTTCTTGTTAATGATTGTTTGAAAGAAGAGAGAAATGGTTGTGTGATGAAAATAAACATAATAAGAATGCCTATTTATAATCAAATTATTGGATTAACGAAATTGAAAATATCACTTATTGAGTTATAGTCGACAGACTGGCAAGCTGTCAATAAAAACCTAAAATAACAAGTTTAGTAAAGATAAAAAACTCGTTAAAATTTTGAATCAACGGAATTGAAATTGAGTTATAGTCGATAGACTAACAGACTGACAAACTAAGAAATTGTTAGAAAAAGACCTAAAATAATAAATTTAGTATAAGATAAAAGTGTTGTTACAAAAAATCTCTAAATTAATTTTGGTAGCATTGTAGATAGTCAATTTGGGGAGGCTAAAAATGAGTGGTGGAGACTAGAGACCGCATATTTTAACAACCCAAAAATATAGTCCAAAATTTGCGTTTTTAAAAATCATTTAAGAAAACCATAATCCATCAAACATCACAATAAAATCGTAAGTTATGTATCTCAAATCATCATACAAAATGTTATCACAAAATATCAGAGTCTAAACATCCCAGTCTGCAAGAATGGTGTGTGCACTGCAATCATCCAAAGCTCTTCCATTTGCTATCGGAAGTACCTGAAACCAAAACTGAAAACTATAATCATGAAGCTTAGTGAGTCTCCCCAAACTACCACATATCATACACATAATAACATACATTGGGCCTTACCCACTACTTCGAGCCCCGCCCGGCATCGAACGAATCTGGCATCGGGCCCCGCCCGACGTCGGAGCGAGTCAGGCATCGGACCCCGCATGACATCGGACCGAAGTTTGGTATACATATAACATATCAACAAGCATAAACACATAACATAAACATATAAGTTAAACCTTCATCATGCTTGCCTGACATCGAACCGAAATCTGGAACATATAACACATAGCATATAAACTAAACATTTCTTGGGCTTGCCCCGACATCAGACTGAGTCCAGAACACATAAATAAACACATGCAAGAATCACAAAGACATCAAGCATAGAAACATTCCTTGGGTTTGCCCCGACATCGGACCGCGAGTCTGGAACATATAATCTACGTCGAGCTAACCCCGACATCGGACTTAGTCCAACATACGCTAACATACATAAACAGGCCGACATTGGTGCCTTCGACTTGTTCCTACTGGAGAGAAACTCACCTCTTAAGCTGGTTGCTGAAATCTCGAGTGAGGAATCTCTGATGGCTGCTCCAACGACTCCCCGGCTATAAGTTTTCACAATAAACACTTAGTCAAAAAACTGAGAATCCTTCTAAGGGTAAAATGACCATTTTACCCTTGGTCAAAGTCAACATTCTAGGTTGACCCAACTCGCTGAGTTGCTCCATCAACTCGCCAAGTCCTAGAACCCTGAAATCGCGATCTAACTCGTCGAGTCACTTCCATGACTCGCCTTGTCCCCTGTCTACTCATAGTCGTGATTTGGCGAGTCAACTTGTCGAGTCCCTTCATAGACTTATCGAGTTCTACCTTAAGCTGAAACAGGACAATACGACTCAACTCATTGAGTTCCTCTATGGAATCGACGAGTTCCCCTGTCTGTTTGGGCCACCTTAATAGGTTACACCCCTACTCTTCAGATCTAAGCTTCTTACTACATTTACACACTGGAAATGCCCTTTTAATGGTAAAGTTTGAAACTTTGCCCGCTAATAATCCTTCTTAGTGGGTTTAGCCAAAACCCTAGTTCCTTAGGAGATAAATCTTTGTCCAAAAGCCTTAGTGGTTTTAGCTAAAACCCTAGTTCCTTAGGACATATATCTAGGTCCTAAATACCCAATGAACACGTAAAGTCTCAGACTTTACTTCCATGCATGGCCTTTTAGGGCTTAAAAGGCCATAATAACATCTTTAAGCTTGCATGGGGCTTCCATGGTCATAAAGTTTGCACTTTTATGTCATGAAACCCCTTCTAGATCCCAGATCTGAAAGGTAATCCAGTTGGGACATCCATGTCCTAAAAATCAAGATTCTTGAACCAAAACCCTCATAAAATGGAACTAAGGAAATCTAATGAACTAATAGCCAAGTTAGAGACTTGATTACTAGAAAATGATGAGGGTGGAAGGAAGTCTTTGGATCTACGATCTTCTCCTTGAACCTTCTAGCTCCTTCTTCTTCTTCAAGCTTCAAGAACACACAAAGATTACTTAAGAATGGCTTACACACTCACAAAATGCTCTAGGGTTTCGTGGATTAGGGTTTGGGACTTAAAGGCTGGAAATGAGCCCATAAAGTGGGGATTAAGATGCTTAAATAGGGTGCAAAACCCTGAAATTAGGGTTTCACTCTAGCAGACCTACTCGTCGAGTTAAGGGCACTCAACTCGTCGAGTAGATTGCTTAAAACCCCGTGTCCAATCTCGTTTCTACTCGACGATTCTGGGGCACCCAACTCGTCGAGTAGCTCTACAAAAATAAATAAATTATAATTAAATGCGTACCAGGAATCAGACGTTACACATATATTCGTTAAACCAATGATTTCGAAAACAAAATCATTTTAAAGGGTAAGTATTTGTAACATCCTAAAATTTATAACTAGTTTAGATAGATAACGTAAGATATTTTAATAAGTTTCTAAGTGTATGTTTAATACATTTAAAATAAATATTATTAAAAACGCATACAAAACAAGTTTTACAGCAAATCCAAGAGAGTAAAAATAGATAGTAAACCATGAAAATAGTTTTTATTACAAGTTTAAGTAATCTTAGGAAAAATTATCAGACTATGAAAATGTCATTATTATGATTTTAAATGCTTGGGTTAATACAATGGTATTAGGATATAATGGATCATTAATTTTTGTTGTGATACTAATTGATATAGTTATAAGGACAATATCTAGAGAAACTTTTATATTTAGTTGATAGTCAAGTAGTATTACATTGGAATTAATGAAGAATTTAGAGAAACTTTTATATTTAGTTCTTAAGCAAGGACAATTATGATAAGAATAGAGTATCAATATTGTGTAATTACTACTTTAGGTTGAAAGGAATTAAGCAATCAATGTGAAAAATCATAAATAAGTTCGGGTGAGTGGTGATTTTTTCCATTTTAGGAGACATGGTAAATAAGAATGTTTTATGCATATGTATATAAATGTTTTGAAGCATATTGTATAATATGATTATGAAAATGTTTCTACTCTAATATGCGTATATCATAGCACTTGTGCGTGATTGAAACGTCAAAAGACAAGTGGTGATCATTTATACATTGAATGTGACTGCTAAATATCAAGTAAGGTCCGAACAGTTATAGAAATTAGATCAAAGATTCTACTGGGAATTGTATCTCCTTCACGAAACAGTTGTCTATATATAAATCAGAGAGCCATTATAGATTGATCCATTCTTTCTATTTTGGTAAGACGTTACACAGAATAACATTGTCTTTTATAGACCAAGGCAAACTAAGTTAAATTAGTCGGATTTTATTTTCATATATGATTATAAATGAATTATTTTCAATAAAAGATTAATGTTGAAATAAAAAGCAATGATTTTGATGTGTCTAAACCTTAAGTAGCTTACAAGACGTTTTCGTCCTCCATACTATATTTTATACCATATATTTAGGAATCAGGTTTGAAGATATAGAAGGTCTTTTACGGATATTAGAATACTGGACTTTTAAAATGAGTATGCTTAACATGGTTATGTTTAATATGAAGTTGTGACACCCACACCACGTTATGACTTTGAAACAAAAAGTTTTTATAAAATCATATTTTTGTAAAAAGACTTAAAGTTGTAGAAATGTTTTGAAAACCATAGTAAATAACTAAATATCGATAAATAAGCCATTAAGACTCAATTCCTTAGTTCAAAGGTTGCACACACATTTGTTATTTGGTTTATATTACGAATGGATCAAAATTCGGACACACTTCTCGATGAATCAAAGGCATGGCCCACGGCATGATGAAAATTTATTGATATTTCCAGATAAACCAAAAACCATAATCTAACCCTAAAAGGCTAAAACAGACGAAGAGAAACCATATCACACAACACAAATTGTACAAAGATGAATAAAATTGATCAGAAATCAACATATACACCAATCACCACACCTACTATACTATCCAGCTTCGAATTGTATTATAATGAAATCAAGATTGTCAAAAACTACAATCCCCATTTTGTCCCTCCCCCTTTTCCTCATATATAAATAAATATAAGCCATCAAACCTGACTTCATTTCATTTCTCATACAACAAACCCCTACCTACACTTCTTACTTGTTACTCAACTTCATCATCAAGGCCCTTGGCTTTTGGTTCTGTACACTTGAAAATCAAACAACACAACAGTCTTTCTTTCCCTTTGGTTAAAAGGAAGCTTCACTCCAAAAAGGCTTTGAGAGTAGTCCACCATGTTCACTCATACTTCCCTTGGATCTATAAAACAAGGGTTTGCTCCTAACCGTCCTAAGCGGGCCCGACCTGTTCCCGTGACTAATGGAGGACCCCAAACCGACCCCACCATCAAAACTCGAAGCTGAAAACGCTCTGTTATCCATCTCTTCAAGTGGGCCCGAGCTATAATCCATTGTCATGAACGAAGAAGTTTGACCGTAAGTCAAGCGCGGGGTGGCACCACCGCCGGCGTTCCACCAACTGCTGTCGGAAGGGACTTGATCGCCGCCGCCCTTGAAGTCCGACTCCACCACTGAAGAATCCCTTTGCGTGGTACTGTCCCCACACACTTCATCTTTGTCGTTGTATATGAGCTTCAAGGCTTGGACCACTTCACCCATGAAAGGCCTTTGAGTTACCTCTGGGTGCACACACATGGAAGCGATTGCTGCCACTTTTGCCATGTCATCGAAGTCATAGGTCCCGGATAAACTCGGGTCCACTAACTGCTGTAGTCCTTCTCGGGTTGTGAGAAGCGGGCGGGCCCACGTCACGAGGTTTTCTTCGCCTGGTGGTTGCGACATGTCCACGGGTTTTCTTCCGGAAAGAAGCTCCAGAAGCACAACACCGTAGCTGTACACGTCACTTTTCACTAGCAGATGCCCCGTCATCGCATATTCAGGCGCAACATAACTGCAGTGCAGATTAAAACAAAAATGATTAAATAACAGAGAAGTAAATCCAACTGCATATTTGAAATTTGAATAATATGGTACCCGAAAGTTCCCATGACACGGGTAGAAATATGACTACTCCCTTCTGTGGCTTCTCTTGCCAACCCAAAATCTGATACCTTGGGAGTAAAGTCATCTTCTAGAAGAACATTGCTGGCCTTAAAGTCACGATGAATTACACGCGGATTTGAATCTTCATGAAGATAAGCCAAACCTCTCGCTGCACCAAGAGCAATCTTCAACCTACCATCCCAATCAAGAGGCCCTCTCTCCTTATCCACACCTGAAGCATATCCACATCACATATTACCAAATTTCATATAATATTACAATAATAATAATATCATTATGGACATACCATGCAAATGAGACTCAACGCTGCCATTAGGAACGAGTTCGTAAACCAAGCAGCGTGTGCGGCCTTCGATGCATATACCGATGAGTTTTACGAGGTTACGGTGATGTAAGCGGCTTAGCATCTCCACTTCTGCAATGAATTCACGATCACCGTTTTGGTTGTTATCTCTATTCAGTAATTTTACAGCAACTTCGGATCCATCTTCTATGATTCCATGATAAACACATCCAAATCCTCCTTCACCCAAGATCTTCTTGGAACTGAACTTTTCAGTGGCCTTGTCAAGTTCGGCTAGTGTGAAGGTTTTCACAGAGAGGAGGGAGGTAGGCATGGCAGAGACAATGGATAACGTGGAGTTTGAGTATGGATCACCTGATAACATTGCTCCAAGTCCTACTTCACCAAAAAAATTATCATGCTATCGCTAACTAACTGTAATCATCAAATCAAACTCAAACTAACAAAGTGAAATGTATTAGATATAGACTTACCACGTCTTTTGCTAGATGGGGTTGCGAAAACAGGACCCACAGCATTTGATGATCTGCCAACCCTTCTGTACTTTAAGAAGACAGAAATCGCAGCAAGGCAAACAACCAAGAGTACCACTGCAGATAAAGTAATAACAAAAATGGTTTTAGGGTTCATGTTCTGAGTTTTTCCTACAAAAGTTGCAGTGAGAGGGATCTGTCCGTTTCCAGGACTTCCATTTGGTCCACTCCCGGGGTGATCTCCATCTCCATATGGCGGTGAAGAAGGAAGCCCTGATATAGTAGTAACTTTATATAATTAGAAACCAAGTGGTAAAAAAACAACAAGAGAAATAGTAAAAAAGGAATCTTTACCTGGATAAGTGATATACACGACCTCATAATCTCCAAAAAGGGTTCTATTTAAAGAAAGTTTCTTGCGCCAAATCTTATCGTATGTGAGTAAAGCAGTGGTGTTATCGAATTTTTCTCCTAATGGAACTAAGTTTATATCGACTGCTGTTTTTTCTTGATTTTGACTATCGGCACTGGCACCTGTTATGACGACTTGGCTTTGTGTTAAGTAAGTGCCTGTTGCAATCTCGATTTCAAGCTCATTCACAACGGGAAAGACCGCGTACACAGAAACTTGTAAAAGCAGCCTGACTTTCATTGGAAAAACACAACCACATGGCGATCCAATGGGAGTTGAAGTCAGTGGCTCAGAACAGGTTTGATCGCAACCTGTCAGGTATCATATTACAAATTATTATAGAAATTATGAAAACTTAAATTATAGATAACGTATGATGATTCATGCCTGGTACAGGGGATGGAGATGGAGAGACTGCATGGGTGATCCTCCCATTACGAAAACGATGGTGATGTCGCCTTCTTGAGCTGCCAACAGGAGGGCTAGCAACAGGGCCTACATATGTTATTTTATACAAAAAATTAAACTTTATACAATATTCAGTTGAAATAACTAGCACTACACATGAATGATGATGAAACCTGGCTACAAGTACCTTGAATTGTTGGAGAAGGAGAAGGAGCAGCAGGTACATTTGAAGGTTTTGTAAAGGCCACAGGTGGATCATGTATATGTGATGCTATAGATGGAATTGTTGCACTCATTGACATGAACCTCACTGAAAACAAAAAAGTTAAAAGATCATTAACTTAATGCGGTTGTTCTACTAATGTAATAACAGTTTTGCAATTCATATGCCTTGGTTAACACTGTAGCCAACATGTATACAATTAAAATTTGATTTTACATTAGCATGTTTCCAAATTAGAAAACTATATCTCTGTGCTATTAGAGAAACAAAATAAGTACCCGAAAACTTATCATATGAACATCACCATTTCAGTAATATTGACATATAGTATCTAATGTAATCTTTGCATGATATTATTCATTTTGCAATAAGAGGTGGTTAAGCATAAAACAGTTCGTTCATTAAGGCTTAATTAAACAAGATGGAAAAAGGTATGGTATGGAAAGAGCAAAGATGATTACAAATTGTAATTTTCTAATCATAATATTTCCATCTTTGAAGAAGGAATGAAACTGATACCTTTGAGATGTTCAAAATCATGTTTCCTCACAAACAGAGGCTGGCTTGGCAGTAGAGAAGGAGATAAATTGATGTTCAGGAAAGGAATGCCTGGAAAGGAAGTAAACAAACTTTCCTGATTAGAGGACATAACATTCTCATCAATCATTAACACAGGTAGATGATGATACTTCACTCTTTTCCATCGAGTTATCAAACTAGTCGTGTGGAATCTATAATAGACAACTATTACATTCTTCATCAAAAAGGAAATCATTAATTTACAGGAACTTCAATTTTCAAATAATACTTTCTCTTGCTTATACCGTATTTACTAATAGATAGGGTAAGAATATGAGAAATGCAGCAACTAAACAAGGCTGGCTGGAGGTGAATCTAGCTTTATGAAGATATTTTTATATAACAAAACAAGAAAGGTTAGAGCTTTGAAATGCATTCAGTAGGCTAGTTTTTTCAAAAGATCCCATTTTCCTGGATTACGACACACATATGTTAGTTATTTATATCACTACGTGTTTGACAAATGCATGGTGCACTTCTTTCATCAGTTAAATACATGCAAACTTTTATGCGTGTTAAAATACATGGAATTTCAAAGGCAACTAAATTTCATCAGCCTACCAAATTAACATACTCATTGGGTTGTGGATATTGCAATGTAGAAAGGAAGGTGTTCGCAAACAAGCACACTTATAGAAAGTGCAATCTAAATAACCTGCAAACGTCTTTGTAGTAATCCAACTTTTCAACCAAAAAAATAAAAACTTCCATGGAAAAATAGCAAATGATAATAGTCAGGTTAATATACAATCAGTACTGCCAATTGGATATAAAGCATTGTCTTAACCCACAACCACCCTACAGGGATATTTAACCATGAAAACAATTATGTATTCATATTGAAAAGAGGTGCATTTTGACTTTAAAAGTCAATTGGATTACTGTAGCAATCAAAAGTGATACTGAATTTCAAACCACCGGAATAATGTTGATAGCCACATAAATTCTTATAACAAGTCAGGCACACCACATAGTACAATAATGATTTTTGTAAATTATTGATACAATCAACAACAATTGTGCAATTTATGCATTAGGTTGACAGCAAATCGTAACCTACTCTTGTTCAAGGAAGTGAGGGTTCGAAGAGAATACTATTCCCAAATTAAGCAGGTTCCCACGAAACATACAATAAGAACATATGATTATGTCTAAACAGATAAGCCGCGATTTTCACTGAGAGATAAGCAATCAACTGTCGGCAGAGCCAAAGTGCAGTCAATTCGCGATTTCTATACACAGCTCTAGAATTCATTTGGCAATTTTTTCTTCGGCGTAACTCTGCTAAGGACTAAATAAAAGTATGGAACCCTAAATAATTAAAAAGGACAAAAAGAAAAGAAGCCAATTCTAGCTTTATTACCGTAACAAACTGTAGGAGAACCGAGAGTGAGAAGAGGAAAAATAAACAACAGCATCACAGTAGTAGACATTTTGTAATCGAACACATAAACACCATTGTCAAAACGCTAAAGCTTGATTTAACAATGCAACACTGAACTCCAGGCTAGGGTTTTGCTCTTGTAGTGAATTCCACCGACAAAGACCTCCAGCAAGTCCTTCAACAAAACGTAAATACACCATTATTCACTTCACTTCCAGAGTAATATCAAGTGAAAACTAAGCTCAAATACCGCAATGTAGATCCATAAAATGCGGCCAAAATCAGAAGCAAATGAGTTGTAGATACAGAAACCGAGTGAACTAGAGAAAGATACGGAGATCTAATGAAAAAAACAGTTGTTAGATCTTGAAGAAGATTGAAGAAAAAGGGTTTTTAGAATGTGTTTTGCGTGTGTGTGAGAGAGAGATGACGAACAATGACAGCATTCGGCTGGAGGAAGAGGGATAGAAGAAGCAGGGAGATGAAAAGAGGGAGGGGTCTGCGAGTGATGTGGGGTCGATTTATTATTGCACGCTCCAGCTCTAGCAGGCTACATAATGAGTGTCTGGCCGACGCGCTGTATTTAAGCGCGTGTATAAACTACTGAAAAGGAAAAGACTGAACGCGGATTAAAATAAAAGAATAGAAACCTCTTTTTTGTTTTTTGGGATAAATGGTTAATACACCTTTAAGACACTTTTGTTGACTTTAGTCTTCTATCGTGTAAGACTGTAAGTAAGATACACTAATCGGTTGGATGTATTTTTATGTATTGAATTATTTTATGACAAAAACCGTTTAGTTAGATAGATATTATTATTTTTTTTATTGTAAAGAAAGACATTGATTAAAGTAACCTAACGAGGCAGTTAACAAAAATATCGATCATTTGAATTATTTTTTATAAGACAACCCCATATTTTGGAACCAGTCATTCAAGAGTATCATTTTGCATTTCAGATTTGGAGATTGTCTGAGATTTTATTTTGATTCTATGATAAAATAATTTATTGACTTGTGAGGATAGAAAATTGAGTTTTTAAAAAAATATTTGAATTAATTTTTATGGTGAGGAAAAAACAATAAGTTAGTTTTTTTAATGTTTGCCTTAGCTTAAGGGTATTTTAAGGTAATATTAATTTTTATAACTCAAAAGTCATAATGAGTTTATAAAAATTACAAATTCTAACTATTTAAAAAAATTTTAAGGGTTAAAAGAGAAATTGTTTTAAAAGTTCTTTTCTTTTTTCCAAACAGTTTTTTTTTACTTGTTGACTTTTTAAAATGTTAATAAATCAATAAGTTATTTTGAGATGAAATATCAAACACCCTCTTGATCATTCCACAAATAACTACATTTTTAATGAAGTCTAAACATACACTCAAGTCATCATCATCTATGTTACACATCATATATACTATCCCTTATAGTGGAAATTAGCAATGTCCTTTGTTGCATTAAATTGTTTCCCAAATGAACGTGTTTCGAAGAGATGGATTGAGAGCACAACACATTTCAGATGCTTTATGTTGAGAAGGGTCGTTTGTAGCCATATATCTCTTATACGCAATCACTACAATGGTTAATTTGTGGTTAGGGGAAGATATCCATTGAGTTTAGCAAAAATGTGTTCCTCTTACGACGTTTCTAAAACCTGACAATGGAATATGACATATTACATTGGGCACTATATTGAGGTATTAGTTTCTAGTGTTGGTAAAGAAATGACAAAAATACATTTATGATTTCCACTTTCAAGTGATGCCGAGGTCGTGTTAATTAGTATTGATAGGGTGTTGAATGAAAGTCATGCTAATGAGTGTCTTGCAATGCTTACAGTAATGCATTTAATCTGGTGGACATATCAATATTACTTCATAAGGTCAAATTGAGGTGTCATTATATCTCTTTATCGGTAGAATTCTCATATAAACATGCATCGAGGTAGTTTTTTTTTTTTCGGGGGGGGGGGGGGGGGCAAATACAAGCTTTTATGCATGGTATCTTGATGATTTAACAGTCATTAGGGATCCAAAAAAGAGTGAAAAATGTTAGACATTATTAAAGAGACCGGTCCATAGTTGGATCTTGAACAGAATATCAAGAAAATAATTTTATTTTAGCCTTTATATGATGATAGAAAACTTTGCAAGGGTTTATTCTATATAAACATTAAGAGATGGTTATTAGGGTTGGAGCTTCGTTGGGGGGTGTTACCAATGTCGGTCTAACCATACTTAGGGCACAGGCCAAAATCAAAATTGAGGCCCCTCATATTACAAAAATTATGAGACAATTAGAACTTACCGCAGACATGACATTAGATATGAGAATGTCGAGGCTTAGAATTAGGGTAATGGAGTAACTTTGGTGAATTATAGGGTCTAAATCCCTCACTTGTATGTGTTTGTACGGACTATGTTTTATTTCTTTCTATTGCTTCCTTATTCTCTTTCAGCATGCATGATATATATATATATATATATATATATATATATATATATATATATATATATATATATATATATATATATGCTAAAGATTTATGGTGTTTTTGTACATTGTCTTCGACCTACCACTTGTTTGTCTCTTTTATCTCGGGATGACGTCTTTTATGTAGGGGTATTTATGCAGAAACATTCAGAATGGACATGATCACTACTTTCATTATTATTTTATATAGTGATTTGTATTCGTTTTATTTTGTTTTTACGAAAAGTCTTCTACATAAACAGTTTTCTCAACCTTACGGTTGGGTCGTCGACCATCCAACCTCTCCCTAACCCATTTGTATGGGAATGGGGTAATATTATTGTTGTTAAAAAACATTAATGGCACGGTCTTAATGATGTAGGAAATTTAAGCTTAGTTAGGTGAGATGGTTACTACATGCAAGCCTTACAATTTCTACTATGTAATAATTTTATTTATCTAGATTCTTGTTGGTGTTTATAAATTGTTGTTATAAAAAAGAAAGCTTTAAAGACATTAATGACATGAACAACGTCTAGTAAAGCACTTCAATGTATGCTAATCGATACTTATATACGTAATCGGGTATGTATATTTCCAAAACAATTGTGACTTTTTTTTTGGTTCACATAGAATTGAAGGAATTCAAACCTATTACACATTTAGATAATAAAAATGAAATAGAATTGGAATGTCACCGATGACAATTAACACAGTTACCATTTAAAGATTTTAAAATTTATATATATTATGAATTGTGGTCGGTCAAAAATCACTCCCACAACCATAACCTTTTGATATTCCTCTTTTTTTCGATATTAGTCACTCTAATTACCTATTTATAGTTACCTCTTCCCAAAACCTCTCTCGCATCATCTTCTTCTTCCCTAAGTGGTTGTTTGGATCGAGGAGGAGGAGGGCCCAAGTGGCTGTTTGGATCGAGGAATTGCGTGAGTTGGGCGTTAGGGAAAATTCCCAACTTTGTGTTCGTGTCTTCTTGGTGTCAGCTAGCTGGCTTCGAGAGGGGGACCCAAGGCGAGGTTCCAGTCATGATTCGAGTTCAGATGAAGAGTTAGTTAGGTGTGTGTTTGAATATGGACGAAGTTTGGATTAATAGATTAGCGGTAAGGCATTGGACGGTGGTAGTCGCAACGTGGAAGTGTTATAAGATTGCGGGGTAGCCGCAACATTCACTAGTGTCCAATTAGGGTGGGAGTGTTGTAAGACTGTGGGGTAGCCGTAACATTCACTAGTGGTCAATTAGTGTAAGAGTTTTATAAGACTGTGGGGTGGCCGTAGCATTCACCGATCTCGGTTCAACGGTGGGATTTCAGCAAATCTGTGACTCGCTCACGAATTCCTTCAAATGGTTTAGGCCAAGACGGGTCTGTTTGCAAGGTTGTGGAAGGGAAACAACACATTTGAAATCAAGGATTGGTAGGTCGTGGGAGACAAGGTATGAAGTAAGACCACATGTAACATCCTGTTTCGAATCATCTGTGATTTAGGGTTCGTGGGATGCAACTCGGGCATGAGGAAGCCTTAATGTAACATCCCAATTTTTAAGGCCAAAAAATTTGTTTTTAATTAAGTCTCTTATAAAATAGTTTACTGAAAAACATCATCGATATCATATTATTCCATAAAACCATAATCACATGTAACGCCCCGTTCTTAAAGTACTTAATTATGGGCTCCCGAGATCAAGAGTAAGGGCGTTTCGGTCTTTTATGGGCAATGGGTTTTATTCGAGAAGGTTTCTGACTGGTGTATGTTGATAGAAGCATAGGGCTTCTCACCACCCTCGTGTGAATGTAAAGTTTATCGGGAGCGGGTTTAGAGTAGAGGAGTTACGGCATTTCGAAGATAATATCGATTATAGCTCTTAATGGGAAAAGTGGAAAAGAGAAGACCAAGTATGAAGAAAGGGGACACGCTGGGTACGCCTAGCGTAAGCTGGGTTACGCCCAGCGTAATTGAGTAAATGAATGCGGGTTGTGGGGGGCGTACGCTATGTACGCCCAGCGTACGTCCAGAGCCTTTAAACCCTAATTTAAGGGTAAGCCACTATATAAGGAACATAAAGGTTTCCTCCTCAGCCTCCATAAACTCGCTCTTACCCTCAGAAACCCTATATATCCTTCTTACCTCCATTGTTGGGTGTGTTTGGCCTTGGGAAGCTTGGATTAGCAAAGGAAAACATAAAGGAAGAAAGGAGAAGTTGTCAAAGAAGGAGTTGAGTGGCTGGAGCTTGTAGATCTGGAAAGACATCACTTTTTGAGGCTCTTTTGAGGTAAAAAGTCTCTAGCTTGGCATTTATATTGAATAAATCTATGTGTTGTGAGGTTTTGACACCATTCTTGTCCCAAAAGTCCTCATTGTTGCATGTTTCGAGTTGGTTGAGATTATCTGTCCTTTCAGACCTTAGGAGAGGTCTTAAGTGAGAAAAATGAGGTCCCAAGGGTTGAGGTTGTTCCATGTGTGAGATAAGTAGGTCTTAATGGATTAAGACCTTGGATTAAGAGCTTTATGGACGTCCCAGGTGATAAAGTTTGAGACTTTATGAATCCTAAACATATTTGGCCTAAGGATCTGAAGTTTGGGCTTAAGAGCTTAAGCCATTAAGAAGTTACATGGATTTGTTGAGCAACGAAGTTACGCCCCGCGTAACATGGGTGTACACCCAGCGTAGCAGGCCACTGCCCTGATCCCAATTTGCGAAGCATCGTGTACGCCCAACGTACCAAGAAGGGTACGCCCAACGTACCCCCCTCTGTTGCAATTTAATTTTGGGCCTTACTTGTTAGGCTGTCATTGGGCTAACAAGTTTGGGCCTTGATTGAATAGTATGTATAGAGTATTTTGGGCCCAATTATTATCAATGACCTTGGATCTAGGCCCGGTTGTAAAGGTGGACCCAATTTAGTAAATTGGGACAATATTGGGCTTTGTAGGAGAATTGGACTTTGGCCTTGGCCCAATAAGTGGATATATGTTTGGCCTAATGATTATTTTGTTATGTTGGCTAGTTCGGGATTTTCGGTGAGTCGGTGATTCGGGAGTCTGCTTTTCAAGTTCAAAGTTTCGACAATTGCGAGGTGGGTTATCCTCACTATATCAACAGGGTCTAAGGCACCAAGGCCGACCCTTTATCAGATTGTAATCCG